GTGTCTATATATATATATATAGAAAGAGATGTGTCTATATATATATGTTATCCACAGATAGACTGTTTCACAGCTCATCAGTTTGGCTAGACATCCTATTGCCTCAAGCCGGGATTGAAACCCTACTGATTTGATATCAGTCAGAGATTTTACTCCTGAGCTATCAGTGCCTGGTAGAGAGGAAGCAAATTTTTATGTACCTATTCTTCAAATAAACATGCCATTGACTGAGAGGGCTCAATTCATGGAAGAGCTTTGCAGTATTAGCTAGTAGTGGTCATTTTTTACAAACTCATGCTTTCTCTCCAGAGTACTCAACCAGAATTAAATTATCTGGGATATATATATATATATATCAAATATTTATGGAGACATTGATATTCATTTATAAGCAAGCTTCTTTCAAGCTGGACCCAAAAAAAGAAATGCACATTATTAAAAATTGATTTTATTGAAAAATTAAACAAACAATTTTTAATATATTCCTATTAAAGAATGTAGTTAGTGGAGTATCATGAAAATTTTCAGAATTTTCCCTGTCATGTTTCATATTTTTGAACCAATTTCTAGTAACTTTATTTCTATTTTTATCTCTTATTCCTAAATTCTTGTGATAGTGATGTATTTGAAATCAGAAAATGGAAGTCTTTATTGAGGTTTTATATAGTGTAAAAAGTATATATATATATATATATATATATATATATATATATATATATATATATATATATATATTAAATGAAAAAGATTACTTAACTTTTAAATATCAATTTCTTGTTGTTTTCCCCAACTTCAAAGTTTCTTGGTAAATATCCGTTCTTCAGGAGGTTCTTTAAGTGATATTTCCAATTTTTTCAATTTGCTCAGATATTTTCTTTTAACTTTCTTTTTTATACACAAGCACACTCATGAATTTAATGTTCTTTTACATGTGCACCTTCATGAATTTTTGTTTTGTTTCTTTCTTCATTTTTTTTTTCTGCAGTAAATTTTTCTTCCAGTTGTAAATTTTTTCTTCAAAATTAAATTTTTCTTTGAAATTAAATTTAATATCTTTTATGGTTTATCTAGAAGTTGTTATGTTAAGTTATATTATTAATTAAATTATAATATTTGTTAATTTTGATTATTAATTGTATTATAATATTTTATGTTGTATTTGTATCATTAATTATAAAATTTTATTTTATTTAATATGTTATATTATTATTAAAGTAAGAAACTAAATATATAACGCATATGCATACTCAATTTGGATTTTCTGGTAAGGGGTGTAATGATGGCATATACGTCATCAAACAATTCCAGGAAATATTATAACTCCCCAATACAGAATGGTATACCTCACAGCAGCATATAATGGCATCAATAGAAACTTCTCCTTTGCATCCATTTGAAACTACCTTCAAAGCTCTGATTCAACTGAATGTCTAGATCTGATATCTCAGTTCACAAACATGTATTTGACTTGCATGGAGCCCACTGCTGAAATATTTCAAACCTCATCAAGAATACAAAGAGGAAATGAGAGGCCCATTGTATTTAAACTTTTCTTAGACTGTGCATTCCATACCACATACCAAATGAACCTGCTAAGAGAAATAGCATTCTTTTCCCTCCCCAGACTAATGTGTTAATGATGAGGGATATGCTGATATCCTTCATAATTGGGATAAGAATGATCTTGAAGAAAAAATCAGCATTCTCTACTAACTGTTCCAAGAAATAAGGCTCAAGATAAACCTTTCCAAAACAGAAACTATGATCTGGAAAAGAAATGATGGCAGTGATGGTGTACACACTGAATCCATTATAAAAATTCATGATGTGGAAATAGTAAATACTAAACACTTCAAGTACCTCAGTGTATCGATCAGTTATAACAAATTTAGCATAGAAGATTAGGAAACTGAACTAGGCTGTACTAGGTGTCATTTTGCCCAACACTGAAAATTGCTACAAAACCTAAAAACTTGAGTAATGTTTTTAAATAAGACTTTCATATTCATGTTGCCAAACTAATAATAATTAGAAATATCCAGACTGTCGGTCATACACAACTGCTTTTTAAGATCAATGGTTAAAAATGGATTGCAGCAAATGAAGACTATAGGTCTTAGCAAGGACCATTCTTCTTCAAACCTAATGGATTTGTGCTACAGAATCACAAACTGTACAAAATAGCAGAAAACTAAATTAGCTGAGGACTTTCAACAGCAGTAATAACTAAAATCTATAGTAGAGGTAACTCAAGGAGAAAATAATGAGATAATCAAAATCTTGATATTCCACACTGTTTCAAATAAAAGGTTAGAAAATAAACTCCCATCAGTACTGGAAAGATAACAGTTAATGAAGTTGAAAATCTGATCTTTCTGAAAAAATTGTTTTAAGAGAAAGATTTTTATAAATTTTAACCGAAAGTACTGCTGGCAGCTCAGATATAAATGCCATATGTTTTCTTATAAGAAAACGGCTAATATTACCATTACCATTCATTACCATATATACATTCATGCATATTCTCTCTCCCCCTCTCACAAAAACAAGCATATATATATGCACAAATGCACAGGTGTACACTGGTGATGCAGACAATAAGAATATAAACTGATGTATGAGAAAATATTTCACAATTCTGTATCAAAGCAATCTAACTATGCATCTATCTATCTATTACTCTCTCTCTCCCTATATATATATATATGTGTGTGTGTGTGTGTGTGTGTGTGTGTGTGTGTGTTAAATTTAGTTGGAAGGACTGTAAGTATAATTATTCATTATTTTATTTCCCCCTCCCTACATCTAAAGGATCCCATCCATAAAACATTAATCTGAACAAGAAGTCCTTTTGAAGGATGAAATGTGTTACATATGATTTTTCTATTGATCATTAAACTACCCAGCATTTGGCTGCTATGTAGTGTTTATACATAATATTCTACAGACATACATACACATACATACACACACACATGCGCGTGTCTATAATGTATGAAAAAAAGTAAGCAAACTTTAAAAACTAAATAAAAATGAATTAAATCTTGCTTGTCTGCCATATTTAATGAAAGATGTTTAAAAAAGTTGCTGCCCAAATATATATATATATATATATATATATATATATATATATATATATATAGTCATATTGCTATGCTTGCTACCATTCTTGTTGCATTATCCTGTTTACTGTAATATATTCATCTGTGAATATGCATCATTTATCTGCATCCACATTTGTAAAGTTATATGTGGGTACAGTGTCAATACACATGCACTTAAATTCACACTACACTCAGTGAGAGAGGTGATGGACGGAAGGTATAGTGTTGAATATGGCATAATGAAACTGGCATTTGTAGAATCATTGATGTGTGACCCCAGGTGGAATATGATCACCTGAGCTGGCTTTGAAAAGAGGAAATGGCAAGGTGGAAGCCTTAGAGTAAGTGGTAGCAGGGTGCAGATGAAAAGGTGATTATGACAATCCTTGAAATGGTATTAGGAAGAACGAGATAGGAAGCAGAAAAAAGGAAAGCATGAAGGAAGGCTGAGAAAAGACAGAACAACAAAGATAAAAATGGTAAGTAGAAGAACGGAGAATGACGGCAAAGAAATAAAGGAAAATTTACAAAGGAAAAAGAGATTAGACAGATATTAAGAATGTAATAACTGAAACAATACAAGACAACAGAAAAGGATGTGGTGAAAAGTTCAGTTAATGAATAAAAATGGTAGATAGAAGAAAGAAGTTAAGGGGAAAAGAGGAGAGAATAATAAAAAAGAAAGCAATAAAATTGTAATAAAGATAAGTAAAAGGATGAAGAAAAATGAAAGGCAACAGAAACAAAGATGAAAAGGAAAAAGAAACTTTTGGATAAAAAAAAAGCAAAATAAAAAGGCAAAGAAAAATAGGAAGGTGTAAATTACAAAAGAACAAAAAGGGAGAAGAAAGAAAATCAAAAATATGGAAATGTGAAAGAAAGTAGAGAAAATGTCAGACATAAAACAAAAAAGTAGAAAAAAAAGCAAAAAATTAGGAAATATCAAACAAAACTTAAAAAATGATGGAGGAAGGAAAAGTAAAAAAAAAAAGAAGAAAAAAGGAAAAAGAAACAAATTGGAGATAAATAAAAGACAAGAAAAAAATGAGAAGAGAATAGAAAACATTATAAAAACAAAATCAAAATAAGAAAGCGAGGAAGAACTGCAAAAATTGAAGAAACTATTAAGAAAAGAATAAAATGAAAGAATGAAAAAGAAGAATGAAAATGAACAAATCACTTAAAGGTAAATAAAATCAATCAAAAATTGTTTAAATGAAGAAATTCAGATTTATTGTGAAGTCAAAAAAAGTTAAATACTAAGGAAAATAAAAAATAAATGATGGAAGGAATGAAATGTAAAAAAATGAAGAAATAAACAAGTTTTGTGAATTAAAAAAAAACAAAATGCAGCAAAAGAAAGAAAATAGCAGTGGAAAAAAGCCTACAAGAAATTCATTCAGGAAGAAATGAATGAAAGAAAAAAGAAATGAAAGATAGAATGAGATTGTAAATTAGAAGAAATTTGTTGATCGTTTGGTCAGAGGGGGAATAAGAAATAAGTAGACAGATCCAAAATGGATTTAAATCATTCAGTGCCAACGGCCATGGTTTGTGCTGATGAGATTTCAATGTAGATAATAGATTTATTCTTCGTGTTCCAAGATTTTCTGGCATTGATTCTGGAGAAAGAAATTGCAATAAAGCTAAACTATTACTCTAGTTAACCCATTGACTGGTCCAAATTCACCTGTGATGGTCTGTGGAGGGGCAGCCAATGGGTGAAGGTTTTAAGTGAGGGGTTGGTTGGTTAGTTATGGTGCCAGTGAAGATTTGAGGATGAAAGTCATGTGTGGTTTGCTGAAGAATGATTTAGGGGTGGAGTGGTGGGCAAAGGAATGGGCAGAATTCTTCTGGCTCTTTTATCAGACAAATCTCAAGAAAAGTAGAAACGAAATGAAACACAGATTAAGAAAACCATTTCCAATCTTCCATTTCTTTCTCAGATATTACTCTGTTTTTGTGGAAGAGTTTATGTATGTAAATAGAAATTTTAGCATTGGTATACCTACATATCTGTATTTGTAAGTACAGAAGGCATGTAAAGAATGAAAACCATTTTTAAAAATATCCCTGTGGATAATCAATATTTGATTAACAAACAAAAATTAGATGTTAATATTTTTTGTATGATCAGAAGATCATAACGAAGGCAACTGACATTCATTCCATCTTTGTTTTCATGTATAGTATATAATGTATACTATTTTAATGTATACATATATAATGGATATGCAAGTTGTTTAATATATGTGTATTTAGGCAGCATATCTTCGTTTGAGCATGTTTGATTCAATAATCTAGACATATTATATTTATTTTTATTTTAATGCTCTCAAATTCATGGATCAATTTCTTAGTGCTGTTACAAAACTAAGTAAGAAAGACACTGTAGTTTGGTTATTTCTTTTATTTTTCCAAGTACTTTCAATTTCATCCAAGATCATCTTCAGGAAGAAATTGCTAAAAAAAATCAATGTAATTGATAGTTGTAAATTATTTTCTAAATGCACATGAAACACTCTATCTTATAGTCAAGTTACATTAAGAATATGTAACGGAGTTAACTTAGTTTAAATTTTTCATTTTTAATGTTTTAAAAATACACAACCTGAAATTTATTTCAAAAAAAGGTTTTTTTAGGTTGTTTAATGGATATATGCATAGAAAATATAATCGACAAATTGAGTTCAAATTCCATTGTGTTGCAGTCACTTTTGCACTATGTTTGTCAAAGGCATAACTCTGCCTCTTACTTCGAGCTATGGAGGAAATAACAGGATAGACTCAGCTCACTAGCCTTTGGCAGCAACCAGTCAAAGATAAGGAAAACTCTGAATTCCAAACCATGGAGAATGCAGTGGAAAACCACTCTACTATTTTTGCAAAAGTGTATGACATTTCACGGATAAAAAAGAAAAGGAATCTTTGGAGACCTATTGTCACCTACATCCTGAAGAGATATGATATTAAAGATACAACGATGAGAGAGCACTGAAAAGTTCTTGGCCTGATTCACTTCTCAAAATTGGACCAAATAATCAAACATCAAATATGTTTTAGTGTCTTCTTAGTTGGGAATAAGAACCTTTTATCAGCACTTCATATAATAAAAAAATAAATAAAAATAGCATCAAACAGAAACAATGCAAACATGAGGCAAAGAATAAAATGCCAAAATATCTATATTTTTTTCTTATATTTTTACTCTGATTTTTTTGTTTAACAATAAATTATATAATGAATCATTTTGAATGCTGAAATATGTTTTTTAGTTGCTCTATACTCTGTCTTACAACTCTCTCTTTTTACCTCACTTGCTCAATCACGCTCTTTCTCTCTCTGTCTACATACACACATGCCCCTCTCCAGACATGCCCCCATATATATATATATATATATATATATATATATATATATACAAGGTGTGATGGATAAATTATGAAAAAATGAAAATTACATGGACATCTCATTTTAACATCTATATTTACCAAAATTACACAAAAATATCTTGAAATACTAAAGAATACATATTTATCCAATAAAATCACCATTGGTTTCATCCATGGCTGCCAAATGACTTCAGAAACTCCTGAAATTCTTATGAACATTCTCTTTGTTTAAATTGGTGAATGCTGTCATAATCCTTGCCTTCATTTCATCTTTGGTATTTGTTATGGATTCCGGGATGAAATCCGGTCTCAAATGAATGACAAACGCAGGAATGAAATATAGCAAATAAATGTATTGACGTAATAATACAATTGGTAATACAGTTAGTAGATCCAGAAATGCAGTTAGTAGAAATAATAATACATATATAGTCTGGGAAATTCAGTATCGAAGTAGGACTTCCTTCTGAGTTTATGTGCTCGCAACTGTGACTTTTACAAATTGGTTACCTCATACTCTCACTGTACCATTGTATCTCTCTTTCTAACCCCCGGGCATACACCAGCAACAGTACAAGTACACACTGGTCAAGTCCACTTGTATGAAAAAGGGGTGGGCCCCATAACAGTATTATAAGGAGTTATGTTGGTCTCTCACTCAATTGTGCCCTACACTTAATAATCAAGGGAGTTGCAGTCTGGTGAGATAGATTGCCAGATGTAAGGGGTGATGTGGTCACAGAAATTGTCTGACAACCATGACTGGGTTCTGCTGCTTGTGTAGCATGGTGCAGTATCCTGTTATCAGCAGCCACCTTCCAGACTCAGGACAGAACTACCTCTTCAAGGCATGATGTAGGCCCCCATGTTGAGTCTGAGACCCTGTAGGAAGATGGAGGCATAATGTGGTCATCATTAGTGATCACTCCAAACACCTTTGTAATCACCATTATACTTATCCAACTCTTTCCGAATCATCTGACTGACACCCAAAAACACAGAAATGGTTGTATTAGAGCATCCAGCACAAATGTCAAGCAGTACAGCATGCAGTTTCAAAACTTTTGGTGGAGTGAATTGTGTCATAGTCCTCTTTTTCTTATAGACAGTGCCCAACTGACCCTAATATATTGTGCAGTCGACAAAATCAAAAACATGCAACGCGCATGCAGAAAATTAAAAGTATAAAATGGCAACAATTTACCCATAGCACCCTGTACATATATACATATGCATATATTATATCTACAGTGCTGTGAAAATGTAAGTGAACCCCTATGATAATATTTAAAATAATTGTCTCTTTTTCCCAGATAATGAACAAATCTTAATTAGACTATATATTTATTAAGAGAAAATATTTCTGAAATGAATTACAACCACTTTCAAAGATTTTATCAAGTTGGAATAAAAAATTAATTAAAAATAAAGATGTGCAAAAGTAAGTGAACCCTTACATTTACCCTCTGTATTTTTGTTTTACATGGTTACCTGTGCAAATAATTTTTTGTGCACATGCAAAAATCAAATTACAGATGTTCATTTATTTTTTTGGTTAGCTGTGTATACTGCAGTCAAATGATATAACTCATTACATATGCATTAGTGTGCAGTTAGAGACTAAATTTAAAAAAATATATATCCAAAGATCAAAAGAACTTTCTGAAGCTTTAAAAAATTGTATAGATGAAACCTATAATGATGGAGAAGGCTACAAAAAGATATCAAAATGATTTGGAGTGCAATTCTCCACCTTACAACAAATTATTTATAAATGAAAGGCTTTTGGTATGACAACATCACAATGCATAATATAGCAGCAAGAGCAAGTAGACATCTACTTCAGCAAGTCCAAGCAAGTCCTGCTCTGACCTTTGCAGCTTCCAATGCTCACTGGCCAATGTCAGAACCAATGTGCATACATCTATAGTGTGTCAAAATCTGAACAATGCTGATTTTCATAGCAAAATGCCTAGAAAAAGCCAATGCTTATGAAATAGGACAAGCAGGCTCACCTCAACTTTGCCAAAACTTGTATTAATAAGCTACAAACATTTTGGCAAAAGGTTTTATGGTTGGATGAGACCAAACTACAGCTTTTTGGGCGGAACAATAGGTGATACATGTAGTGAGCTCTTAATACAGGTTTTGAAGCGACAAATTTGATACTAACTATTAAACATGGTGGTGACAGCATTATGATTTAGAGGTTGTTTTGCCACAGCTGGAACAGGCAAAATAGTATGCAAAATACCAAGCAATTTTAAATTAAAGTGTCTTGTCCTCATTTCAAAAGCTGGGTTTAGGTGAGGGCTACAGGACAGTAACCTGAAGCATCAAATCAAATCCACAAAAAAAAAATGGATTCGGAAAAAGAAATTTGAAGTCTTGGAACAGCCCAGTCAAAGTCCAGATCTAAACACAACTGAAAATCTGTGATTCAAGTGAAAGAAGGCAGTGTATGCAAAAAACCCAGGTAAAATCGATCAATTGTGGGAATTTTGCCAAGAAGAATGGTAAGAAATCAGCACTTACTAGTGCCAGAAATTTTTTAAAAATTATAGAAAAAGGCTGGTTGACATTATAACTTCAAATATTAAATGTAAGGGTTCACTTACTTTTGCACATCTTAATATTACAATATTTTTATTCAAGCTTAATAAAATGTTTTGAAAGTGGTGGTAATTGTTTTTTTAAATATTATCTTAGTCATTCACTTACTTTTGCAGAGGACTGTATCTATCTATTTATCTATCTATCATATATATATATATATATATATATATATATATATATATGCACACACACACACACACACATATATATGTACATATATATATATATACACACACACATATATATATGTATGTATATATATATATATATATATATATATATATATATATATATCCACCAATTAAATTCTTTCCATGTTCATTGTTCATACCAATTCTGTGTCTTGAAATAAGAAAACAAGGTTAAAAACAGCGAGATTCTCTCAAAACATGACATAATAGGAACCAAAGCCTTTCTAATTACAGTACAGCTCAGGTGGTTTGGTCACCTAATTAGGACAGGAGGATTCTAAAACAGATGTTTGTTTTTTTTCAGTTAGATACCAAATTCCTTGCATTCTATAGGCCATCTTCTTCCCAGGTACAAAGATGTTGAAGGAAACCTTGAAACACTGAGGTATCAATACAAAATCTTGTGAAAATTGGAAAAATCGAAACTGAAATGAAAGATATTGAGCTTCACACAGTTTAAATCATTTGAGAATTCTAATTTCTCTGTTGGGCTAGAGACATATTGATCCAAAATGACCTCTGTGCATATACAGACATGTCTTGTTGTTGTAATCTAAGTTAGGCTTTGTAAATCTCTAACTATATATATATTCATGCATTGAACATCTATATATTATGAGGCAGAATACTGAACATCACTCTAACATTCCTGAAGCCTTCACAAGATGTGCTGTTCCTTGTCCTGTATATAGAATGTATGGATGTCATATTGTCCTTAATCAATATATACAAGACATAAACACAAATATGGTGTCAAGGGTGAAGCATTCT